CTCTGAGCATCCTCTTTGTTATTCCAGGGATTTAATATTTTGATTTAAAATAATCAAATGGATGGAGAAAGGAATGCTAAACCCTCGGTTTCCTTCTTCCCACTCCCTCCATGGCAGCTGCTTCTCCTCCAGACTCTCCAGGCAGTGCCAGGAAAGACTTTAATTAGGGAAATCAAACTCCTCCCGGCAATGAGGTTCCCATTAAGGGATCCTGCAGCTCCTCTGGGAATGCCTGGAAACAGCTCCAGCAGATCTGTTGGTAGCAATGTGCTTTTGATATGTAAATGGATCCCAGGAACACAGAATATATGGAGAATATCCTGGATGCTTTGTAGAATCCATTATATTAAGGCTGCAAAGCATTTTTCCTTGTAATCCCTGTTTTACCACACTCATAACGTCTGGAAATATCCACCTTTGATCTGAAATTTTCCTTGGTCGGGCTTTGATCAAAGTCCTTAGGCTTTTTTTTTTTTTTTCCCTTCTCCTTTAATTCCCTGGAAAAATCCCTCCAGCTGCTGCACGTTTTGGGATGAAAACTCTTAAGGAATTAAAAAAACCATCCACACCATTATTTTCTGAGGCTGAAGCTGCGGTCTGGGGACGAGCAGAATTCCAAACAGGAATGTGCTGCTTGTGATTCCCTTGTTCTTGGCTGTGTCTGCAGCTCCCATGTGGGGGCTCTGGGCTGGAAGGATGGAATTCCCATCCCAGCATGGAATTTGGAGGGAAAGGTGCTGCCTTGTGAGTTGCTCCTGTTTGGGAACTTCTTCCAAATTCCTTGTTTGTCCTGCTTGGGGAAAATTTGGCAGAGTGTTTCCAGCAGGGCCTGCTTGGGATACCCTGCAGATTGTGCCTTTCCTTGGCTTCTCTTGGAGATGTTCCCTCCCTCTCCAGGTATCCCAGAGCAGCTCCTCCAGACATCTGTGGCATCCTTGCATCCCCATCAGCACCAGGCTGATGTTGGCCAATCCACTGGGATTGCTCATCCTCTGCCCTGGCTCCCTGTGGATGAGCGGGCGTTCCTCCTGAGTTGGTCAAACAGTTGGAGAAAGGGGAATGTTTTTAGGAATTCATGCTGTTGTTGGGCATTCCAGGTTTTCCACTTTCCCTTTTGCTGCTGGGATGAGAGGATGTTCCTCTTGACTTGGTCAAACAGCTGGAGAAAGGGGATGTTTTTAGGAATTCATGCTGTTGTTGGGCATTCCAGGTTTCCCACTGTCCCTTTTGCTGCTGGGATGAGAGGATGTTCCTCTTGAGTTGGTCAAACAGCTGGAAAAAGGGGATGTTTTTAGGAATTCTTGCTGTTGTTGGGCATTCCACATGTTCCACTGTCCCTTTTGCTGCTGGGATCAGTGGGTGTTCCTCTTGATCAAACAGCTGGAAAAAGGGGGATGTTTTTAGGAATTTGTGCTGTTGTTGGGCATTCCAGGTTTTCCCCTTTCCCTTTTGCTGCTGGGATGAGAGGATGTTCCTCTTGAGTTGGTCAAACAGCTGGAAAAAGGGGGATGTTTTTAGGAATTCATGCTGTTGTTGGGCATTCCACATGTTCCACTGTCCCTTTTGCTGCTGGGATCAGTGGGTGTTCCTCTTGAGTTGGTCAAACAGCTGGAAAAAGGGGATGTTTTTAGGAATTCATGCTGTTGTTGGACATTCCAGGTTTTCCACTTTCCCTTTTGCTGCTGGGATGAGAGGATGTTCCTCTTGAGTTGGTCAAACAGCTGGAGAAAGGGGATGTTTTTAGGCATTCATGCTGTTGTTGGGCATTCCACATGTTGCACTGTCCCTTTTGCTGCTGGGATCAGCGGGTGTTCCTCTTGACTTAGTCAAACAGCTGGAAAAAGGGAATGTTTTTAGGAATTCATGCTGTTGTTGGGCATTCCAGGTTTCCCACTGTCCCTTTTGCTGCTGGAGCCCTGGGCCTGCAGCTTCCTGAGGCCTCACAGGCGCTTTCCCTGCTCCCTCTCTCCAGGTATGACACCCCAGCATCTTCCAAGAAGAAGGTCCGGCCCAAGGACCGCAACAAGCTGTCCACGGAGGAGCGCCGGAAGCTCTTTGAGCAGGAGGTGGCCCAACGGGAAGCCCAGAAACAGCAGCAGCAGCTCCAGAACCTGGGAATGACCTCTCCTCTTCCCTACGACTCCATGGGCTACGGAACCGCCCACCACGGCTTCATGGGGTACCCACCGGGCTACCCCATGCAGGCCTACGTGGATCCCAGCAACCCCAACGCCGGCAAGGT